GCACACCGACGCACTGCTTGGCAAGCCATGCTGTGGCAGCGTCCCATATAAAGTGGAGGAAGATGGGCACGGATGTTAGCCCAGGGCCAGTCTTCTTCAGCAAAAAAAGAGGAGGATTGGCAGATGTTAGCACAGGGCTGATCTCCTCACAAAAAACAAACAAAAAAAACAAAAAAAAATGACCACTTTTTAAAAAAAAATCCAATTGCTTTTTCTTCTCATCATGTTAACATAAAAACTCCTCCAAATTTAAAGTTCTAAAAGCAATATTTTTTCCAAAGAGTCTCTGCTCCTTTACCCTGTGGGTTTGAGATCATGAGAGCAGATCCTAGACAGTTTGCTTTTTGATAAACAGAGAAATCCAGAAAGAGAGTGTAATAAAATGTGGTTGTTAAAAATACAGTTCAGGATAATTCTGAACAGTTCAGGACTCTGGAACCACACTGCTGGGGTTCAGATCCGCACTGGCTTCATCCGACTGTGAATAAGTAATCAGCTTCTCTGTACCCAAGTTTCCTCATCTATAAAATGGGACTAATATTAGTAGTACCTTTGTCCTAGGCTTGTTTTGAGAATTAAATGAGTTAATATATATAAAATGCTTAGAATTGTTTGTAGCACATAATAAATGGCATATAAGTGTTAGCTATTGTCGTCATCATCATATATTCAAAATGGACAGCAAGTTTTCTCAGCTGTAGAATAGAGCTCCTCGGTCACACATGTTTTCTCCAGCCTTGGTCCAGTGTCCCCACTGTATGATCACATCACACCCTCTCCTGACTATCATGGTAGTTTTGTAGTCCCATCTGTGCTTGCAGATGGTGTTTTTCTGACTTTGTGTCCTCAGTGACTGCCATAGTCCCCACTCCACGGGTGAGCTGGTAAACCAGCTCTCTAAAAATAAAAGCCCTGATTTGTAGTGTTCACTGATTCCTGTGGTGTAAATACTCCCACCATGGCTGATATCAGGCTACCAATGGTTTCATAACAGGTCTGCCAAATTCCAGAATGTTTAACAGTCAGCTCTCGCGACCCTGTACGAGCTGGCTCCAGCACACCACTGCCTGTTGCTTAGGCACTCAGTCAGTGAATAGGTTAATCAGTCAGGCTGGCTGCTGTGTCAAGGAGCACTAGATATCCCACAAAAGAGAATGAATATGACAAAATGCAGAAGGAAATGTGTGGGAGTGAAATAGTGCATTAGAGGTGGTGCCTTGTTTTAAATTCTGATTTTCCAAGGTACAGAGACATCAAATCAAAGAAATCAAACCCAGAACCCTCGTTAGAATCCAGTTTCCATGATACTGATTCAAATGTCCCATATTTCCAGATAGTCCCTCCTTGCCCTTGCCTTGCCCTCGACTGCTTCTGCTATAGTTTTATTTGAGAAATTGCCAGAAGCGTGCCAAATAGGAGCTGGAGAGGGAGAAGTGGTCCCTGAGCTGACCCACCTTGTCTTAGATTCCTGCCTCCTGACTTCCCTCCCTCGTCATCATTCACATGCTTTCCAGGGTCTAGCACTGTGGTTGTCCTGCCCCACCCTTTAGTCTAAAAAGGAACCTAATTCATCCTTGCAAGTCACTCTACCTCTAAATGGCGTGCCATCCTGGCCAAGGACTAGCCAGGTGACACAAAGAAGCATTTTTCCCAGTCCCAACTGCTTTCAGCAATCCACAATTCCATTTAGATGAGCAATTTCCCAAACTGAAACAAAATAACCCCACATCAGCATAATTTGAAGCAAGCATTTCTCAGACTACTGCATCCTGCCCACAGACTTTAGGCTGGCTGTCTTTGGACACAGTTTGTATCAACAATGAATGGCCTTTACTTATAAGTTAGTTCCCTGGCATCTCATTGGTGTTGAGTATTCAAGAGTATTGTGTCTCTCTGTGAGCCTCAATCCCTGGCTTTCAATGTTTCTTGGTGCCAGGAAGGCTGGAGCTACATAGTTCCCTACTCTTGGGAATGTAGAGATTTCTCTCTTTCCTTCCACTACCTGCCTCCTGAAAATAAGTCTTCCTCTCTCTGAACTTATGAAGACCCACACACAATCATAATGTCCTCCTATACATGAGAGTTCTCTGTAGTGTGGATTCAGTAAAACGTCCATGAAAGCATACACTATTTTAACCTATAGATTTATTAACTATCTTGTACCTACAGAGACCAATCCACAAAATCCCAACATCAGTCGTGGACCATTTGGGAAGCAGAGATTAGTTCAAATAAGAGTGAGGATGGTTATTTACAATATTTAAGTAGTAAAGTAAATATGATGTGCTCGTTGAATGCTGAGACCCACAACCACCCTTCCTCTATCACCACCCAATCCCCTAAATGTTAGAAACCAGGCCTTCGCCATCCCTGTGGGCAAGTGGTAAGGGTCATTACTCGAGAAATTGACCAACCTAAAGGTACTGACACAGTATCATAGTTGACAAGCCCCACTCATGTGCTTAGAGCTTCCCATCAGATTTCTAATTTTCCATCACCCCACTCTTCAATATGAACTGATAAACCAGGATTACCAGACAAGGAAGGAAATCCTCTAATTTGGAAGACAGAAAATGTATTAAGGTTCTCCAGAGAAACAAAACAATAGGATGGAAGGATGGATGGATGGATGGATGGATGGATGGATAAATTGATTGACCAATTTTAAGAAATTGGCTCACAGGATGGTGGGGACTGGCAAGTCTGAAATCTGCAGGGCAGGCCAGCAGGCTGAAAGTTCATGTAAGAGTTCATTTTGCAGTCTTGAATTTGAAATCCTCCAAGCTGGAAACTCAGGCTAGATTTCTATGTTGTAGTCTTGAGGCAGAATTCCTTCTTCTTAAGACCTTCAACTGAATGGATAAGATCCACCCACATAACGAAGGGTAATCTGCCTTACTTAAAGTCATCTGATAGTAAATGTTAATCACATCCACAAATAACCTCACAGCAACATCCAGACTGGTGTTTGACCAACAACGGGGCCTAGTCGATTTGACACATAAAATTTACCATCATAGAGACCAAAAACAGAAACAGAGAAAAGCAACCTTGAGGAAACTCTGCAGGGAGAAAACTACATAAAGATATTATTTATATCCTCTAAGAGATAAGAGAAAATATTGTAACCGCAAAATAGGAGCAGGATGCTATGTGTTTGGGAAAAAAACCTCAGCGAACAAATAAAAGAGCCCTTGGAAAATGACAGCATCTTAATAAAAGTTTCAAAAGATGAGAAACCCTCTCAGAAAGTAAAGCAAAAACCCACAGAGATGTAATATAAGAGAGAAAGATAATTAAAGGAAGATCTAAAAGATCTGAGCTCCAACCATAAAAGTTCCATGAAGACAGAACAGAGAAAAGAAATGAAAGGAAATCAGCAATGAAATAATTAGACATTTTCCCAAGTTGAAGGACAAAAATTTCCAGATTGCAAGGGCCCACTGAATACCCAGTATTGGTTGAAATAAACCCACACTGAAGTACATCATTGTGAAATCTCAGAAGATTGGAGGTAAGAGAAGATCCTCCAAGCTATTAGAAAGGAAAAGAAACCAGGTCACATACAAACTTCAGGAACCAAAACAACTTTGGATTTCTCAAAAGTAACATGAAGGGAATTGCTTAAAATTCCACACACAACATATCAAAGAAATATCAGGGTGGAGTAAAGACATGCTCAGCTATGCAAAGTCTCACATTTCCCTCTTATAACCCCCTTCTCAGGAAGCTACTGTAGAATGTGTTCTAACAAAATAAGAGTGGTACCTATGCTCAACTCCTCTCTGGAAACATCCTGCCTTTTACAGCAGTAGTGTGGTGGGGAAACATCTTCCTCCCAACCCTGGTCTCTGTTCTTGGAATCTGTTCCTTAGGTGTCTCTTACCGTTCTCACTAGCATTCATGTGTGTGGTTAATTAGGTGAATTTTTGTGGACTAGTGGGAGAGCCAAATGGCTACTTGGCATTTTTGTGGCAGCATGTGTTCCAAGTTCAAAATAACCAATTTGCTAATCGTCTTTGGAATTTGGGCCCTGCCTAAGATTTGGTGCAGAAGGAATTAGGAGGATGAGTTATGGCCGAGTCTGTGCATGCTGAGCATTACCAGCGGCATCCATGGCTCATGATGTCCTCTGTTTCCCCAGGCTATCAGTGTACCTGTCTCTCACAGTTCACTGGGAGAAACTGTGAATCCGAGATCACAGCCTGCTTCCCAAACCCCTGCCGGAATGGAGGCTCCTGCGACCCCATAGGAAATACTTTCATCTGCAATTGCAAAGCTGGGCTCACTGGAGTCACGTAAGTGAGACTGTGCAACAGTCTTTCTCTATGCTGCTTTCTTGGTGCTAAGAAAACAACCAACTGGGGTAAAATATTTACCACTAATGGGACAGGCAAAGGGTTAATATCGTTACATGAAGAGTGCTTACAAGTGACTAAAATGTTATCAGGGATTATCTCTGGGGAGTAGGGTTATGGGTAATCTATATTTTTACTTTATACTTCTCGATACTTTCAAATTTTTATATAATTACCATGTGTTCTGTAATCAAGAAAACAATTCTTTTAAAGAAAGTCCTCTATGACCCCTAATATTTCCAGTATAATTCTGAGGCAGACATATTATCCATTTCCTCAGAACTCATTAACTGGACTCTACTGCCTAGTGTTTTATGATCATTCTGAAAAACTAAAACTTTCCTTTGCAAACCCCTTTTCACCCAAGAAATGAGGGAAATTAAAGTGTTAGCCAAATGGAAAGGGAATGTTTTAAATTCTTAGTAAAATGCCCCCTTTCAACCATCCTTGATCGTTTTAGAAGTATATATATGTAATCTCAAAGTGAATGATATTCTAATTACAGATCAGTCTTATATATTCATTAAAGCAAATCTCCCGAGGACTTTACCAGGAAATACTTAGCCGACTTTGAATCGTTGGATGTAATTTAAAGTAATAAAGCTGCATTTATTTTTAAATACTCTGTGATTCTGACTAATTTCCGACTGACCTGGCCTCAATCTGCTCAAATTAGGGACGTTTGACTACATTTTAAAAGGTGGATTATCAAAGGTAGAGGTGATCGGGCCTTTTAAATGAACATAACAGAACAATTGCTGAAGTAGAGAAAAGTGAAGGGAAAAAGGTCTATGTTCTCAAATAATGTTAAACTAAGAAAGAATAAGACTTAAATGTTTGCTCTATAATTATAGTCAGAGCAAGTCATGGATTGCTTTAAAGAGAATAAAATTGATTTAATTATTTTTCATTAGAATGCTTTAGTCCTTTTTTCCTATAATCTGTATTAGCCTTTAACGTAAGCATAGAATCTGGGAGATATGTGAACAAGTAACCCTCCACCCACCCAAATAAGCCTTGTACCCCGGCTTCCCAGAGAGCCCAAAAATTACTGTAACCATTAAAGGAAAATGTCAGAACCAAAGAAATTCTCCTCTCGGGAAACTCTAGATAGGGTGTAAGTTCACAGCTCTTTATTTGCAATTCCACAATCCCAAAAGCCCTGAGAACTAAAAGGATTGAAGATAAATTAGTGGCAAACTAATTTGGTGGCAAAACCAGCCAAAACCACACTGAGGCTATTTCTGGTCTTGACTTCTCTCATTTAGCATGAACGTCCATATGTTTTACTGTAGAAATGCTGGTGTATTTGATTAGGGGGCCAGCGCCAGCACCCCTCTTCCTGCGGTGGGGTGCATATTTTACATAATATGAAAGATATGCACTGTATGTAATTTCTAAAATTGCAAAATTTTAAATTCTGCAATGCATCTGGCCCCGAGGATTTGGAGATAAGTATCTCTTCAACAGCATCTGTTGCTCTTTCTGTCTCTGCTTCCTCTCTTCTGTCCCACGACAGCTTTTCCCTCCCCCTACCCGGGTAGGGTCAGAATATCTGGGAGGGATTGCGTGGGAGAAAGACCTTAATGCCTGACTCTGACTCATGCCGCCTCCCCGCAGTGCCCACTCACCTCCCACGCGCGCACACGCCGTCACACTATTTTTGTCATGCTTCATGTACCCTGTGGGGGTTTTATTTTCTTTTAAGACGTCAGTTTTAAATGGAGCTCCAGCGTACCAGCCTGCGTCCCAGGGTCCTGATGTTTGACAGGGGCCTTTTGTGTGTTTTGTCCTCAAGGTGTGAGGAGGACATCAACGAGTGTGAGCGGGAGGAGTGTGAGAACGGGGGCTCCTGTGTCAACGTGTTTGGCTCCTTCCTCTGTAACTGCACCCCGGGCTACGTGGGCCAGTACTGCGGGCTGCGCCCCGTGGTGGTGCCCAACATCCAGGCCGGCCACTCCTACGTGGGGAAGGAGGAGCTCATCGGCATCGCCGTGGTCCTCTTCGTCATCTTCGTCTTGATCGTCCTCTTCATCGTCTTCCGCAAGAAGGTCTTCCGCAAGAACTACTCCCGCAACAACATCACGCTGGTGCAGGACCCCGCCACGGCCGCGCTGCTCAACAAGAGCAACGGCATCCCGTTCCGGAACCTGCGCGGCGGCGGGGACGGCCGCAACGTCTACCAGGAGGTGGGGCCCCCGCAGGTGCCCGTGCGCCCCATGGCCTACACCCCGTGCTTCCAGAGCGACTCCAGGAGCAACCTGGACAAGATCGTGGACGGGCTGGGGGGCGAGCACCAGGAGATGACCACGTTTCACCCTGAGTCCCCGCGCATCCTGACAGCCAGGCGGGGCGTGGTCGTGTGCAGCGTGGCCCCCAACCTCCCCGCCGTGTCCCCTTGCCGCTCTGACTGCGATTCCATCCGGAAGAATGGCTGGGATGCGGGAACTGAAAGTGAGTAGGAAGTAGTGGTGCCTCATTGGCTTTATATTTGAGCAGGAGCGGAGATGCCCTGGGTAGCAGGACTTTCCAAAGGCTGGGGTTCTAGTACTATGATATATGTTGGGGGGGGGGAGTGGGAAGTAGGTTTCAGATGGAGCTAGAGAGCATGTGCAGCCAAGGAGATAAAGGGTGCCTTCGTGGAGCAAGGGGGCATTTCTACGGGTGTCTTTAAGCGTGAGTAAGATTTTGGTCGGAAACTATTGGAAAGGGCCTTCCAGAAGCAGGAAGCAGCTTGATCAGTGGAGAGGACACATGAGGGGTTGCCTGAGGGGTGTCTGGCTCTGTTCAGGAGGAAGGTGAAGCTAGAGGTGAAAGGTGCAAGTTTGGATGTAATCTGTGTGCAGGATGGATGAATCTCTAGGAGGGTGAGCTCACCAAGAGAGAAGCAGCAGAGAGAGGATGGTCAAACAGGGCCTTTAAAAGAACCAGAGATTCTACAGGGGAGAGGGGAGGGGCAGAAAGGGAGACACACACGTGCCAACAAAGAGAGAGCGGGAAAGAGGAAACAGCAGCTGTGCAGAAGCCAAGACCATCAGTAAGGTCAGCAGGATTGAGCACTACTGTAAAACCATCAAGGACACAGGCTAAAAAAAAATACTGCACTTGACACCTAGAAGATTCTTAGTGATCTCAGGAGTGTTTCAGTGAGTCATCAAGACAGAATCCAGAATGCAAGGGTTAAGGACGAAGAGATTTGGCGAGAAAACAGAGGCAGCAGATGAACATAAAAAGCCACCACTGCTGTGTGCTGGGTGATCTCCTTAAATTCCCACAGCTGCCCCATGTGGGGGCCAACGGGAGGACTGAACAGGTGAAATAACTTGCCTAAGATCAAGTAACTAGTAAAAGGAGGGGTGAGGATTCGAACCTGGAGCATCAGAGTCCAAAGCTTGTGCTCTTAGCAAGACTGCTCTTGGGAGCTTTAGCAGGGAGGAGGGAGGGGGACTTGAGAGGGAGAGGATCTCTTGATGATAGAGGAGGGCCTCTATTCTATTGTAGAGCCGCCCCAGTCACGCTATCTGCTGATTCTATCTTTCTGTAGACACACTTATATTTTAAGTGGTTGCCCTTGGATTTTAATCATATAAATATATTTCCTCTCAAATTATCTGTCGAGTTAGACTTTACTATAGCCTTGCCAATCCTCTAGCTAGTAGAAAGGCCCTTTTTATTTAGCAATGAAAAAAAGGGGGATTTGAATAAATGGAGGAGTGGAGAAAGGAGCTTTGTGCACAGCACTGTATTCATCGGTGGAGGGGAGCAGGGGGAATCATTTGTCATTTCCTTCCTTGTGTTCAGGGCTAAGCCTGGTGCCCACCTTATGCTTTTCTGAGGCACCTCTTCATACTTTCTGTGATGTGGCTGTTAGGAGGTGAATTTCTCCACTTTTATCAGTTGTTTATCCAACTCATCATTTTGCTGTGGCTTCAGCATCTGACAGCAGGTGCAGAGCCACAGTGCCTGCTGCTGACATCACCCTTTGTGGAGGAAACAGTGATTTCTGTGGCTGAGAAGAGGAACAACTGTTCCCTTAATCACAAGTCACCGTCTCCTTGTACCATCACATTGCGTGATGATTTGAAGCTTTTCCTCGTGCTCGTTTCCCTCCACCCATTTGGTAATGTGACAGCTTTATTTCCAGAATCCACCTCAGGCCAAAACTCACATTTCCCTCCCAAGTATTGCTGGGTTTTTATTGAATACATTTCCTTCTTTGTTAAGCAAGGCAGAGTTAGCTGGCGAGACAATCTCTAGGTGACTAATTCATTTTTCTCTTGACAACTTCAAGATATGGGTTGTTTTTATTGCCTCCTTTAGTCCATCAATTAATGAAGTAGCACATGTGTGCGTGCGCGTGTGTGCATGTGTGTGTCGTTCAGGCTCTTTCTACAGCAAAGAGGGAGGAAGTGGGCGGAAAAGACCACCTCCATGCCACTGACTGCCCTCCTACCAGACAGTGCAGAACACTGTCATTCTCAAAAATGATGTGACGCTGCCCTCTAGAAGGCAAAACTGAGAACTCCACTTGTTCCCCAGAGATGGAAGTTCGGGTAAATGCAATGGCATTCTTGCCTATAAAATATTTATACCCCTATTTTAAAAGTAATCTCATTTAACCTGGTGTTGACACCACATTGGTTCATGTAAATGATTTAAATTAACTCTGAATGGCAAAGAGCAACCCAGCCACTTCATCCTCGTTCCACTCTTCACTTAGTCACTTCACTTTGAGGAGAGAACAGCTACTTTCAGCTGTCAGCTATTTGGAAGCTCATTTACCATGGGTTAAGGGTTTTGAATCCATAATGTAAATCTCTTGATTGACAGACCTTTGCCCCCAATGGCACGATCAATTTTCTATTGTGAAGCTAAATTATTTTCTCTAAGCAAATGAAAGAGCCCCCAGAAGTGAACGCTGGTGGGGGGGAACGGCGCTAGATATATGCACAAGATAACCAGAGTCATTTCTGCTTTCTCTCTGGCTTCCCACCAAGACAAAGGGGTTGATGACCCGGGAGAAGTGACCTGCTTTGCAGGCAGTAATAAAGGCAGCAATTCTGAAGTTCAGTCCTTGAGCTCCTTCCAGTCGGATTCTGGCGACGACAATGGTAAGAAGTCATCGAGTGTGTTCCCTTGGGTGGGTTCTGTTTCCCGTGCTGCAGTGAGAGGTTGAGAGGAAGGTGATGTGACTGGTTCTGTTTCTTGACCTGATCATGGGCTTTTGAGTATGTTCACCAGCTTTTCTGTTGACTCCATTGTTGGTTGTCATTCCTGAAGGAGCACCTATTGAGCTGCAGCTGTGAGAGGCCCAGGGATCTGTGTCGGAGGTTGACAAAGTTCCCCCAAACTTCCAGTAATGTATCGTCTTTGATTTGGTTCATGATGGAACTACCTCACCCCAAATGATACTCTCTAGCAAGCAGTGTGATTTATTTCTTTTTTTATTTTACTAATGATGATCTCTTCACTCTTCACTCTACATCCAACCTCCGTCTCATTAGAAATTAGTTCAGAGGCAAGACCTCCTAACCATAGAACCTTCTTCCCATAGAAGTGGCATCTTCATTCATTTGAATCCCCGTTATAGTCATTTGGGGTCATGGGCCTTTGGAGAATCTATTAAGTACTATGGATCAGCTCCTTAGAAAAATGCACATATACCCAAAATGTTGCACACAATTCCATGTGGTTCATGAACCTTGTTGACACTCCAAAGCTGCTACCTCTTCCTTTTGAGAACTTATGTTTATGGAGAGGGTGCTAATGGCGGACTAGGTTTTCTGAGCTGAGGGAAGAGCTTTGGAGGATGGTTGGTTTCCCCGGGACCAGGGAGGGAAGCAGAAATGGTCATAAAACAGTGAAAGCTTACCATATGGTAGTGAACCAAGAATAATTTCAAATAATCATCCACAGAGACCTTAGTCTGTATGTCATTTTTTTTTTTTTGCCATTTATCAGCAATTTGCAAAAATTGTATTATTAATTTATGGAATCATTCAACCCATGAACCCTTACTGAGTTTCTCCTGTGTTCTGACCCCTATACTGGACGTTTTGTACCCAGAAGTACAAAATGAAAATGATGTAGTCTTTGCCTCCCAGGTAAATACAGGAACAGGTGAGCCCTGAGGCCATAGAGGCAACCATGGAAATAAAATAGTCCACTTTCAGCATCGCCACCCCCAAATCTCTTCCGCCTCCTTCCCTAATACCTGGCACTCCTGAGAGGTGCAGAAGCCTCAGTGTATCTGACTGCTGGGGTAACAAACCATATCACAGTGGATTTCTTCTGACCTTCCTCAGAAGCCCAAGGGCATGCCTCCAGCTCAGTTTGCCTTGGTGCTTATTCCTTTCCTCATCCCCAGCCAGAAGAAAAGCTGTCACTGGTTTGCATTTGATATAGAAGCACCCGAGAACATATAGTTTCCACACTCCAGGCAGCAGCTCCAGCTGCTGGTTGACTGGTCACACACTTGGTCTTTCATGTTTAACATCCTGGGTTGGTCCCAACTAAAGCAGGCAGTGTTAGGAATTTTCAATAAATTAGTTTAAGTTTGATCACCTCTCCACAAGCTGCTGGTATCAGGTGCTAAAGCAACACGGACAGAGTACAGAGATTTCCTTCCCAGATTCTACCTATTCGAGAGGCCAAATGCTGAATTCTGTCTACACTTCACAGGTGGGAGCTGGGCCTCCGGTCATTCCAGGCTATAGGTGGCATCTTGTGAGTGTGAAGCCATCAGTCCTGCAGAGGTTATCCTCCATTACTGGCATTTGGTTTGGAGCAGCATGCCTGACCAATAATTATCCCCGGGAGTAGTGAGGTCTTCCTCTGAGAGCCTTTGAGAGTCACTAATGAGAAATTAGCATGAGCTTGATGAGCCACTGCCTTCCTAGATTGATTTCACCGGGCCATGAGGTATGAATTTATGACCCGGCAATCCCTGCCGATCAGGCCTTTCAGGAGGACTGGCCCCCCCGGGTTTGCTGCCATTTCCCTTCCGTTCCAAGAATCCCGGGACCCCCAGACAAAAGTGTGCACTCGAGCACTACCTAATGGACAGACAGTGGGAGTTTCCGTGCTGCGCCTCTGTTTTTGCTGTTGTTGTTAAGAGAAGTTAATGTATGTTTAAAATACACAACTAACCTGAAGCTGTCCTTCCCTCCCTCCTGTCTTCTTTTCCTGGCCACAAGCGTCCATAGTGACTGTCATTCAACTTGTCAACAATGTAGTTGACACTATAGAGAATGAAGGTATTTAATTTTTTCTTCCATAGCATTTCTTTGTGCACGAGTTATCCTTTCAGAAATATTCCTTCCTTGTTACTTTAAACTAGGGGTGGTTTTCATTGGCTGGCAACGGAGTGGGCCGTAAATAGATGGTTTCCAACAAGACGCTGGATGTTTCTCTAGGGATTGGAGTCAATTTTACAATTTGGCAAAAAAGCATCTAGTTTATAATTTTTTAAATATTTTGGGTACTCTTTTTATAAAATCCCTTCCGAGAGAAGAGTACCCAATTATATGGAATCCAGCTTAATATTAAATTCATTCTTCCATTCAACATGTGTTTATTGAGCACCTGCTATGAGCTGGGAATATTTAAGAAATCATTTAAAGCTACAGTATTAGGGGGATTGATTTCAATCAAGTAACTTGTTAGTGACTTAATACAATTAGGTCCTAGCATAGCTGGGATTTATCTTTCTATTTCCTAAATACCAATGGAGAGAAATAGGAGCATGTCTTCTAAGTCATCTAGAATGTTCTGTTTTGCCCTCTTCACGAGGCTTGGATTGTCAGTTTTACTTCTCACTTTGTATTTAAACAGTGTCTGTCATGGATCAAGGACAAAACTACAACCGAGGTGACTGTGCCACGACCCCAGCATCACATTTTACTCATGCGTTTTGAGTTGCTGAGTTCGTTCTTACCCTGTCCCTCTCCCTCCATCCTGTCTGAGTTTCTTTGATCTGAATTTTGCATGTTCCAGGTGTCTTGTGTGCTCGGTATTGGAGATGAGCGTCCTACCAGCATCCCTCCCCCAGCCTCTCCCCTGCGCCTGTGATTCATCCATTTGTGTGCACATCTCCCTGCCTTCTGTGGTCCACAGTATAGCTGATGCATCTCTCTCTCTGCAAGCATGTTGCCAGCCTGGCTTTGCACTTAGTGTGTGCATAGGAAGAAGGAATGGCGGGGAGAGCTCCTAGAACTCTGTTTCCTCAGCATGCCCTCGCTGGCCATCGCTTACGGCATGGCTGAGTGGAGGCTCTGCAGCAACCAGGCGCCATCTCATGTCAGAGTTGCCGTGGCCGTGTTCTCCCAGAGCCAGAGCATGGCTGGCCCCTGATAGACCCTTGTAAGGAGCATGCACATGACCCTGGCTTCCTAGGGTCTCTTGGATGTTAATTGCATGTCACGTCCCTTGTCTGCTCCTTTCAGAGCCCCGCCCCAACTCTAGTCTGGAGGAAATTAACTATCACCACTTTTCTTCCACAGCCTATCACTGGGACACCTCTGACTGGATGCCAGGGGCCCGCTTGTCGGACATAGAGGAAGTGCCCAACTATGAGAACCAGGATGGAGGGTCTGCACACCAGGGCAGCACACGGGAGTTGGAGAGCGATTACTACCTGGGCGGCTATGACATCGACAGCGAGTACCCACCCCCTCACGAAGAGGAGTTCTTGAGTCAGGACCAGCTGCCCCCTCCTCTTCCAGAGGACTTCCCGGACCAATACGAGGCCCTGCCACCCTCCCAGCCTGTCTCACTGGCCAGCACGCTGAGCCCAGACTGCAGGAGAAGGCCCCAGTTCCATCCCAGCCAGTACCTTCCTCCTCACCCATTCCCCAATGAAACGGATTTGGTGGGCCCGCCTGCCAGCTGTGAATTTAGTACTTTTGCTGTGAGCATGAACCAGGGCACAGAGACAGCAGGCCCAGCAGACAATGTGTCTCTATCCTTGCACAATTCCAGAGGCACCTCGTCCTCGGATGTGTCAGCTAACTGCGGCTTTGACGATTCCGAAGTAGCCATGAGTGACTATGAGAGTGTGGGAGAGCTCAGCCTTGCCAACCTTCACATTCCCTTTATCGAGACTCAGCACCAGACCCAAGTGTAGAGGACACACCTCGAGTGCTTTGCACTGTTTGTTACAGAAATGTGGAATGAGACTGGCTGGGCTTGTGTCTCCATGGAGAGGAGTGTCTTGAGCAAGAAGGAAATGCGGTATTTTCCCCTAGAAACTTCTAAACAAAGCATACTGTCACGAGCAAGCTCGACTCCAGTTGGATGCAAAGGAAAGGCACAGAAATTGTTTCTGAGAAGTGACTGATAACCCTTGCAGTAGGTTGCTGCGTTCATGATCAAGAATGCACACCAAGTTTTTCAGGGGGGCAAAAATTACAGCCACTAGGTTATACAGTCGATCTTGTATGGCTTTGTGCAGCAGTGTGCCCTGGAAAGTGTTACAGCATCGGTCCTTGCAGTATTAATAACTGGCAACAAGCAAAGAGGCATTGTTGCATGTGCTTTTGAGCCAATGGGGGGGAAATGAAAATAGTAGTTATGATTGTTGGAAAAGTTAGTCTCGTAAGCAGAAGGAAAGAGAAACGAATATTATTAAACAAACAAGAGAATGGGCTGAAGCCTTTAAAATCAACTCTATTTTTTTTAATAAGCTGCCCAATTTTCAGCTATAAATTAGGTTTGAGTAACATGTTTAGTATGCTTAGTTATTTTTTTTTGTTTGTGTTAAGTATCCAATATCATATAGTTGGGTTTTATGATCTCTGAGAAAGGTATTAATGAAGAGGAACATGAGGATATTTGGGTTCCATTTTGTGGGTGGGGAGGTTAACATAGTTCAAACATTATAAAGAATGTGATTATCTGTTTTTGTGTTTTGCCGTAAATATTCTTGGCTGTAACTACCATTTTAACATTGCTGCAGAAATTGGCCTTTGTTCTGAGAATCAGGAAATAAAAAGAAAAAAAAAAGTAGCATTTTGGTAATTGTTCTCTAGAATGAGAGATATTTAGAGGTTTAAGCAGAATTCACAAATTCAGAAAAACAAAGAAAATATCATACTTCCAATGTTTTCAGCCAGATAATCACAATTCTTGATAATGCAGATCAAATTGGAGTGTTATTCTAAATTGGTAGCATCATTCATTATAAATGCAATTACGTTAAAAAGAAGAAGAAAGTAGATTAGTTCTTGTGTATAAGTTATAATAGTTATGTGTCTGGGCCTATGTACAAATATGTACTTGCACTCAATAAGGCTGCTCTTGAGGAAAGCTGATGTGAAGGTTCTAGGGTGTGGACTGAGTTGAAAATCCTGCCATGAGGCAGACCTTCCAATTTCTCTGATCTCTATGATGTTAGAGAAACACCAAATGCCATATTGTACTCCGGTTCAGTTAACTTTATTTTGGTACTGCCATTTATGTTAACTTAAAGCAAAACTGCTTTTTAAACAACAGTATTTTGTTATAATTTTCCAGAACTAAATTCTTATTTGAAAAATGTGTAAGGTTTAATTACACCCTGGGGTTCTCCATCCATTTGATGTATGGACTTTGGCCATGAGTTTCCAAAATTGACAGGAGAATCATTCCACTGGAAATACAGTAACCCAATACTCAAAGCTTAAAGTTGACAAATTGAGTGACTTTCCTCTTTTGCTTCAATCGGATTATGGCCAGATGCACAGTGGCCATGGTAAATAAATGCATATTTGCACTATCTGCTTAATAAGCAAATTTCTGTGTCCACAGTTTCTGATAACATATGGCATTGGTGTGTAAATTGTACTGTCCTGAGTCTGTGTATCATCCACTTAGACATATTTTTAGTTATTTCAATTGTATTTAATTCACTTCTTTATAGCAGTCAGTGTTTCTGAAGTTCGTTGTAAAAAAATTCCTTTTCATTCTCAAGCTTCCTAAGTACACATCTACACTTCACAGATTTTTCAGTTTTTCTCCTCTTCCTGTCTCTTGGTCAGACCTACTCATAGAAGCATTATCTGCACTGTGGTCTTGAAATAAATGAATTTCACTAAGGCTGCTTTTGAGAATAAAGTCTTTGGTATTTTTCTTATGTAAGAAGCACATTTGCAAGAATCACGGAGAAAATGACGAACTAATGGTCTAGAATGGAATCCCTGCTCCACTTTCAGTAACGCAATGACATAAAAACCATCAAAGTAAAACCAACAATTCATTTCTTGCCCCCAGGAAATGTTAGAATGAGATTAATGCCAATGACTCACTACTGCTTACACAGCATCTCCTCCAGGGAGAATGCCTGACTGACACAGTAATGAAGGAATAAATAGATCCTAATGTGGTTGTAAGTCACCCAAGAAGATTGTGCCCACCCTTTTCTCTGACCTATGTAAAATACCTCTTTCTTTAAGATAACTTCCCCTGATTTCCTGCAGAATAGTTCTGCGGCTAAATGTATACCACACAAGCTTGTGTTATGTTTTGATTCATTACCTTTAAACACATGATATTTTTTCTCTTTTTGGAAAATTAGGTTTCCCTGTAGATTACAAAAGAGTTTTCAGTCAGGCCAAGGTGGAACTAGGTGGGATGACTGCCAATTCAAAGAGGTGGAAGGGTCTTTAAGATCGGCTTGTCCAATCCTTTGATTTTATAAAAGAGGAAACATGCCCAGAGAGGGGAAGGCTCTAGCCCAAGCTCACACAGGAAGATAAGTAGCTGAACACGGACTAGAACCCATCCATTTGGCCAATGTACTTTCTGTATACCGTTGTTCACCACTGTACTTCCTGGGGCATAGTATCTGCCAACTTCTGCTGGATTTTCTGACTTCCCACCATTCCTGCTTTGGACTGTGCTAGAAAAGAGAACTCAAGGAGATTGTTTCTCTGGAAGCCTCATGATCTCATGTTTCCTTGCAGCCTACCCCCTAGGAAGGGCACAGTTACAGAAGTCACACATTTCTTTGGACATTTATCAAAAATGCTGCTTTTGCCAAATGAGTGATTTCTACAATGAGGATGGAATGGTAATTACAGAATGGAACTCAGACCAGTCATCAATTATAGTGAAACTTTGATTATAATTTTACCTACTGGGTGCATTTTGTTTCTCTTTTTTTTTTTCCTCCACCAGTCCTGGTATTTCTTCCTACCCCCGCCACCATGATGAACCACGTGGAAAATATTTAAGCCAATTAATGTCTTTCCCTTTTTTCTAACACATATGTGCCACCTCCTGGAAGCCATTTTCCATAGCCTGTTGTAGGCACTTTACTTGTATTGCACACATTCTGGTTAGGTTGAGAGTGGCTGGACTGTTGATCTTTGTCGTATAGGAAGCAGAAGATATGGGGCTGTAAAAGATGAATAAAGTAGGTGTTTAATTTATTTGCTTTCGTCTACAAGTATTTTGCTGCTGAGTTCCATTCCATGCGAGCTTTCCATGTACTCATGTCCTGCCCATTCATGAAATGCCATTGGAGAAGTTAGTAATGTGAATAGGTCAAGTCTATGCATTTTGAGGTTTGCCCTATCAGAGAATCAGAGTGAAGGCCTGGAAAGGGAATTGATGATATATTCCTGGAACTTACCTGGAATTTCCCCTAGGAATCACTAGCACAGCCTGGAAAAAAGCAAGTAAGAGATATATATCATCAGCCAACTCCTACTTACTTCCCACCCCCACCTCACCCACTGCCCCCACTAATGCTGTGTCTATATAACCAAAGTCAGGGGAACTGAGAAAAGAGATTATCAAAATAAAACATTTAATACCCAGAAAATACTTTCATGTAAAGTAATTCAGGAAGATCTAGTGTTCATTTTGCATGAGTTACCCAGACAGTTGTCTGCTCTCTTCAATCTGCTGCACTCCCAGTGCACAGATATTGATAAAGTGGTTAGGATTTTATGTTTTATGTTTTTAATTTCGAACCATGGGAAATGGAGATTTGAAGAGGCATTTCTTCAGCGTCATCATTTTGTGTGGTCTGTGAGAAGGCGGTTCTGTGTTTTTGCTGGTTTTTGTCCTGCAACGTTCAACTGCACATTATTCTGGTGCAAATCCACAATGTCTTTAAGCTTCTGGTTGTATAATTCTAGGGTTTAAAGTCACCATTTGTGGGTTTGGCATCAGTTAATATTTAGCCAGCTGGCTAAGAGATAGGAAAAGAATAAGATTTTCTTTCCTTGGTAATAATGAAAAGCAATAATTACAAGTATGTAATATTACACAAAGGCCATAATTAGTCTATTCCAGTGTTTAGGGTGCACTAGAGAATCGTATAGTCATTTGGAGCGTGTTTGGACCCATTACTATGTACTGTAGTACCCTTCCAGCAAACAAATACCTGAATTGCTACTATTTAACAATTTTATGAGCCCATACTACTGCGTTTCGGAAAGTGACAAATGTGTTCAGAAATGGAAGCAGTTATTTTTAAGCACTGTATCAGAGAGATTGTCTTGTAAATTTGCCTGTTGCAAACAGGCTGGTTTGTAAAAGATGTATGTTTTGGTGTTTAAAATGTTTATAAAATTGTATATAATGGTTTCAATTTTCCAGGCTTTTGTAGATACTGTATTTGATGCCTATCAGGATGCTTTAATTTGGGGGGGTCAAATATAATTCTAAGTCATCCATGCTGTTGGTCTAAAAACTTTTGAGGTAACTACACACACATACACACACACAAAGGATTTTAGATTTGAAAATGATGTTTTTTAATCATTTCAAGATGTACTGTAACCTTTCTTTGGTTCTACTGTTTTCGTTTAACTTTCTCTGTTTTCAAGAAAATGTTTTTATTGACTTTTTTTAAAACAAGCGTGCTTTGCCCAGTTACTAAGTACCTGATTCTTATGCCATTTCAGATTCTGAATGAAGTATATCATTTCTTCACACACATGTGCACCCACCTAAACTTGCACACGCATCACACACCAAACCTTATGCAAAGGGGAAAGCTAACACTTAAAGTGGATCTTGTCCCTTATAGAAATGGATTGTTTCTGCATATATTGCTGTTGGCAGTATTCAGTCTTGTGTTCTTTTTCTAAAAAATGCAAGAAAAACAAAAACAAAAAACAAAAAAAGACAGCCAAAAAAAAAAAAAAAACAACCAACAGTGTACAGGTTTGTAACTGCCAAAATTTGATGGTTAAAACAAGTTTTCAAGTAAAAAGTAAAAAATGAAACTAGAAATTGTGTTGACTCTTTTTTAAGTGTTTCCTTTTATTTGTCTTCAGTTCGTTGCTCACATGGCACTTGGGCAGTCATATTCTGTAGGGCATGGGATTTTTTTTCAGAGACTTCTTGCCTCCAGAAGGACTTCCATTGGTTCTGGTGCACATGTGTTGGAATCTTATGCAGCTTCTT